GCTTTTTAGCCGGTGTTTTGTAGCTGCTGCTATCTTGTTTAGCATTAGCTCGCAGCGCCACACACGCCTCCCATTCAGCAATGTGGTTTTGTTTGAGGTGCTGGAATAAATTCGTCGTGCTGCTTCCTTTAGTTGCCACATACTTCTGGCATATTTTACAGCGGGGTTTAGCTTCTTCAAAGTCTGAACTTGCAAACCCAAGCCATTTCCATACGACACTCCCTTTCAGGTAGCTCCAAGGTTGGTAAAACCAACCAGTGATTACTGCTTCTTCCCCCACAGGACCACATACAGTCCCACAGTAGTGAAATTAATTCCAACGGGTAGCATAGCACCGACAATGATATCAAGGGTAGTTAATCCGCTCACTAACCAGCAACACATCACATGTGGAAAACAAGTGGCCTCAAGCAGTCAAAACAAACAGGTACTGTGCTCCGGGGGAATCCAGTGCTGATGAGCTGATCATTCACTGCAGCAGAGGCTTCAATGGTCAGGTTAAACAACCAGTCCCTGTACATGAACATTCCTGGACATGCAGTGACCTCAGGCCCTGTATTTTCTCCATATCCTCTGGTCATAATGCAGGCAGCATGAGGTAAAATATATCCACCAAACTGGGATCAGTCAAAAAATTCTGCTTTTACAATGGCACCAGTGGAGGTCTTTTCTTTTAAATAAGCTTTATTGAAAATATACATAACAAGGCAATATAACATTTTGCCAATATGGTCGGGGCACTGGTGGATGTCAGGCAAGTTCATATGAACACACAATTGCCTGGAGATTATCGCCATTCGAGGAAAACCTTAAACTATCACATAATCCTTTATTTTGTTAGAAAAAAAAGTCTTGAGGGAGAGTTTGCAAACCGTTTATAAAATGAGTTGCTTCTGCATAAAAGTACTAGAACATAAGTACACCTCATTTTTTGAGCTTTAGGTCACAGATTTAAATTTTTAATAAGATAATAATTCAACGTTGTAACATTGTAGATAATTTAAAAAACACAAGGAAAAGTATGCCATGGCCTCTTTAAAAACATTTGCCCAGCAAGTGGAATAGTCACCTGACTCCACCTCCTACTGATGGCTATGATGACCCCAGCTTCAGCAAAGAAAAAAGAGGCAGAGCCCATACAGCAGTAGTGCTTCCCTTGACCTGGGACAATGAATGTTTGCCTGACCAGTGAGTCATACTGTATACTGCATATGAGATCTAATCATAGTGCAGTCACAATTGAGACACTAATAAAGCATTTGTCAGAGTCATTGTAAATGCAAAGACCCACTGCAGGAAGTAATTTTCCAGAAAACATATCTGGATATAGACCACATGTTAATGTCAGGTGTAATGGGGGCCTGAATTACCTCAAAACAGATGTTCTCGCCTTCTTTGTCACAATCCAGCCATAAAACCACGTAATCACAGTCTCTGGCTTCAACCTGACATAACATAAGAAACTTGGGATGAGCACCAAAGATATATGACACACTGACCTACAGATTGCCATACAGAACACAATAAACAGTATGTCTTTGGAAAACCAGATACTGGTTCAACTTCTTAAACCCACCTGGAGGAACTTGACCATGTTTAGTTTGGGGTTGGCTTCCTTCTTTTCTGTGGGAGCTTTGCTAAAGAGTTCTGCAGGATCCACCTTGTCCCAGTTGTTGTACTTCCCTTGAAAGAAAGAAAGAAGCAGAAGGTGGGAGTCGTAAGATCACCAAGCAGCGTCCTGGCAGATCCACCTAGTTAGCTCAAATTTGCTAGTCAAAATTGTTTAGGGAAGGGACAGTTAAGCAGTTTTACTGATTCGTGAGATTGTCTTGCAGTTTTCAGTTTCAGTCCAGAGCCTTTACAATAGATTATTTTTTATTCCTTCATTAGATAATGAAGTACACCATAAATGCTGCAAGGAAATGCCATCAGTAAAAGTACAGGTAGTGTGAGCAGGACCTAAAATGGATGATACTCACCAATGAAGTCCAGACTCATGACATGTCCACACACAGAAGTCATCTTAAACCGCGCAGTTTGTCCCTGGAAGCTGCCAATGTATTCATGAACTGAACATGCTCCATTGAGTCCCTTGCGACTAGTACAATTTCCTAAAAGCCAAGGAGAACAGATGAGTTGTATCAGTTAATACATACAGTATAACCCATCACCAAAAGAGTGTTCAAAGGTAAATACCCAAGGCTTTACTAAAGCTTCAATACAAATACAATGGCTTAAACATAAGTGACAACAGCAACATTTAAAATTCTTAACTTTTATGAAAAGCTCCAAACTAACAATAAATTGATCCCACTATTTAATCATGCGAGGTTGGCTGGAATTTATGTGTAGGTCAGTTATGGAATTGACTACTTGATAAAAAAAAAGAAGGTTGGGTAGAAGAATATTTATTTGGGATAAATAAATCAATAGATCTTTTTTAAATGACCTGCATTTGGCAAGGCTCTTGGTATTAGGTACCCAGCCTTATTTTTGTGGTGACAATGATCAGCACAAGTGATCCTCCGACTGTATTTTCCTCACCTTGAAATTCACTTTGCCTGCCAATTTGGTGCTAAGCGCAGAGTACAGTGGAAGGTTCATTTAAAAGAGGTAGCATAAAGCCATTTATTGGTATTGTAGTGTGTCTTCTCTCCCAGTTGTTGTACTTCCCTTGAAAGAAAGAAAGAAGCAGAAGGTGGGAGTCGTAAGATCACCAAGCAGCGTCCTGGCAGATCCACCTAGTTAGCTCAAATTTGCTAGTCAAAATTGTTTAGGGAAGGGACAGTTAAGCAGTTTTACTGATTCGTGAGATTGTCTTGCAGTTTTCAGTTTCAGTCCAGAGCCTTTACAATAGATTATTTTTTATTCCTTCATTAGATAATGAAGTACACCATAAATGCTGCAAGGAAATGCCATCAGTAAAAGTACAGGTAGTGTGAGCAGGACCTAAAATGGATGATACTCACCAATGAAGTCCAGACTCATGACATGTCCACACACAGAAGTCATCTTAAACCGCGCAGTTTGTCCCTGGAAGCTGCCAATGTATTCATGAACTGAACATGCTCCATTGAGTCCCTTGCGACTAGTACAATTTCCTAAAAGCCAAGGAGAACAGATGAGTTGTATCAGTTAATACATACAGTATAACCCATCACCAAAAGAGTGTTCAAAGGTAAATACCCAAGGCTTTACTAAAGCTTCAATACAAATACAATGGCTTAAACATAAGTGACAACAGCAACATTTAAAATTCTTAACTTTTATGAAAAGCTCCAAACTAACAATAAATTGATCCCACTATTTAATCATGCGAGGTTGGCTGGAATTTATGTGTAGGTCAGTTATGGAATTGACTACTTGATAAAAAAAAAGAAGGTTGGGTAGAAGAATATTTATTTGGGATAAATAAATCAATAGATCTTTTTTAAATGACCTGCATTTGGCAAGGCTCTTGGTATTAGGTACCCAGCCTTATTTTTGTGGTGACAATGATCAGCACAAGTGATCCTCCGACTGTATTTTCCTCACCTTGAAATTCACTTTGCCTGCCAATTTGGTGCTAAGCGCAGAGTACAGTGGAAGGTTCATTTAAAAGAGGTAGCATAAAGCCATTTATTGGTATTGTAGTGTGTCTTCTCTCTCTTGCCCTGTACCTTTCTGCATGTATCCCTGGTTCTGCAGGTGTATGTTTCTGATGAGCAGTCACTGGCCACATCAACCTGACCAGTGTTTGATTGTTGTCTCTTGTTGCTTTTCTTCTTTTCTCTGCCCTCTATCCACTCACCCCAACCGGTCAAGGCAGAAGGCCGCCCACCAAGAGCCGGGGTCTGTTGGGGGTTTCTTCTGTTAAAGGCAGTTTTTCCTCCCCAATGTCGCCAAGTGCTGCTCAAGGGGGATTTGTTGGGTTTTTCTATATAATAATATTGCTAACAGTAAGGTCTAGACATTACTTTGTAAAGTGTCCGGAGATGACTTTTGTTGTGATTTGGTGCTATACAAATAAATTTGAATTGTATTATGGTGGAAAACGTTGAAGTTGATTGGAGAAGAGATGTCTCAGAAATACATTTGTTTGGTGCAACATCACTTCAAGGCCAGTTTAGTGATTTTATTAGTAAGAGCAAGCTAAATGCCTGATCACTGTACTTGATCACACTTTCATTGTATAAAGTATCCCAAATAAAAATCCAAACCTTCTGCTTCTGTGTTACTGGCACCCTGTTTCAGAGCTATAAGACCAATGAGTATATTTCGTAATCACCACACCCTTCGATCTACACTCACCTTCAGTGAGGTCTTTTGAACCTACATGAACCAAAGTAACTGGTATGCTACACCTGGACATGTCCACACAGTCCATGTACCTAAGACCAAGTGATTTGAACTCGTCAGTGTGCTTGCTTGGTGAAATACTTTATTTAGCGAGATAAAAACTTTTGCACATAGACATTATCTGAAAGCATATACAAGTACATATTAGTTTTATATGCATTATACAATAGTCTTGTTTTATTTTTTTGAAACATGCTCAAAAACCTGACATAAAATGACAATAAATCAGATGTGGAGTTTAAAATAAGGTCAGATTGGTGATGAATGAGACCAGAACATGAGACCTATGATAGCTGTGTCCCTTTCCCGGTAAGTGAGGGGGAAATTAAGGGCTTCCCTTGGTTCCCCTGAATAAATGCTACAGGCTGATGTCCTCTCTGAATAAAATGATTTTCTCAAGGCCAAATGCTAATTATAGAAATGTGGATACAAGCTATTACAATTGGAGCCAATCTGAGAAATACAGTACGTCTTTCTCCACCCACTCCCATACACACAAATGCCACTCCTGCCTCTGTGACGTGGACAACCCAATCATCAATAGCTCTACCAGTGTGGACAGACACACACATACAAAGGATGGTAGCAATCCCAACAAGAACAGGGTATATAAATAAAGGCAGGTCCAGATACAGATCATAGATCATCTCCAAGCCAAAAAATCTCCGCCACACCCCATCAACAAAACACAGAAGCTTCATCACGCTAATCTTCACTCATGGAACAGCTCCAGGTAAGAAACCTGCACTTTACATTAATGGAGATGATTACTGAAGGCAGATGTGACATGGGACACACTCAGCTAGGCTCTGTAGTAGACTAGTTATGGTTTTAAAGGGCATGTTCACATTGTTCCAAGACTAAATGCAAAGTCCCATGCCCGTATGCATATGGACATTTTTATTGGTATTCTTTTTATCCTTCTTATAGGTGACAAAATCCAGTTACTGTTCAGTATATGTTCAGCTGAAGCTAAGAAGGCTCTAGCAGTATGAGATATAGAGATCAAGTGAATATATTGGTAATATTTTTAGCACAAAAGATGGAATTTCATGGTAACCAGTTGATTGGAATGTCAGTTTTTGTAGAATTGCACAAAATGAAATTTTGACATGAGTTGGCCACTAGATAAAGAGTCAGAGCAACTGTACAATTTACCTTAATAATGATTTGAATCAGGAACTATCTGATCAAAGAATAAGTAAACAAGACTACAAAGCTGACCAAAAATTTGAGGGTTGTTTCCTGTACTGTTTCCTGTACTCTTCAAAACATGATACTATGGGCCAACGTTTGATGAGCACCAAAAAATAGAGGTTCAACTCCCAGCCAGTCCCCAGTGTCTCTTCATTTTCTTAAGTTTAAATCAGGACAGTGTCAGAGGACAAACAGTGAAACACTAAACATCCCCAGGAAAATGATACAGAGAAGTCAGTCCACACTATCTTGATTATTTATTCTCTGTGTCCAGCTGCTGCGAGTCTTTCTGCTGTGCCTGCTTGCCCTCCACAAATGTCTGGCCATCCCACTGGGCAGCCAGTGTGTTGATGAATCCTTCTGCACATACAGTTTGCAGGACTACTACAGCCAGCTGGTCAACCTGCCCAATCACATCAATGAGCGCAGTATCGCAACCTGGACCTATGTGTGAGTATCCATGCAATGGATCACTGATTTCAACCTCAGCTAAAAAGATTATGGCTCAAAGTGTTAGTAAATGAGTTGATTAACTGGTTGACTAAAAATGTTAAGCAATGCCAAAAATTGGCTGCTTATCAAATGTGTTGATTTACTGATTTTTCCTGTTTATAAAATTTTTGCACTGCTGGTCAGACAAAAGTATAAATTTAAACATTACCTTGATAACTTAACTTACAACTGACTATTTCCACATTTCAATTTTAACTGTGGCAGACATTTTCTCTCTTTTTTTTAAGCAAAGATGCCTAGAATTCACTGGTTTCAGCTTCTCAAATACGAAGCTTTGCTTTGTTTTTATATCTTATATCATTCAAAATTGAATCTTTATGGGTTTTGGATGGCTGGTTGGACCAAACATTTAGACACATCAAACTGCATTCCAGGAAATGGTAATGTACCCATTACCATTTCCTGGAATTCTGCCATTTTATAAACCAATCAATTATCTGTATAATTGAAAAAATAATTAACTAATGAACTGATAATGAAAGATGGTTAGTAGCTGGCTGCCACAAAATAAACTAAGGACTGAATGAAAGCCTGATCTTTGATCTTTCCCATAAGTGAGAACATCGACTTGAACCGGGTGCCTCAGGTCATTGCTTTCGGTCTAGAGACCATCCCTGTGTCCCTGAGGGTGCCTGTCCTCAAGAAGAACCCCAACTGCTTCCCGACGTCAAGCTACTCTTTGGAGTTTGAGCTCATCACCATAGCTTGTATATGTGCCACCTCCAGACACAGCTGAACAGGACTGACTGCTCTAATGTCAACTTAGGACAATGGTGAATGTCAAAATATGTTTGTTCAAATAGAGAATCAAGTAAAGTTGGTGGTTTCTGAGAAATAATCCATTTCACTTGTTATTGTTTCCCCATTCAATACATGTCTACTATGCCGGTGTTCTGTCCATTTGTACTACTTATCCAGTTGTGCTAATTAGCGGCTGGTTATGCGCATGAGCACAACTCCTCAAAACACCAGGTTAAGGGGAAACGCATCTCAATAGGGGAACAGACTTCAGCACAACCCCAGCTCACTCCAGCATATAGCCTAATTGAAGGTATCTCACGTTAACTAGTATCACTGTATCCATGTGGAGTAGGCTGCCTGCTTGTCACAGCCTTTTCCTGAATTACTTGGAGTTCAGACCATATTGCCTTTATCCAGACTACAAAAAGTCTCGTTATTCCAAAACACACAGGGCAGTTCAGTAGAAATAATGCCTGAGATGCATTTAACTATGTCAATATGCAAGTAACATTAGCTAAGGGTCTGATTTTTCAGCAGTTTGGCGTACATTCACATACATCTCATGCCCGTCTCACATTGCAGATATAATTTCATTCTATCAAATGCGTCATTCCACTCTGAATCCGAGACACGCATATTTTCCCCTGTGTCGCATTTGGTGAAGCGTAATCTCCACAGTTAGCTGTTTAAATCACACAAACCCCTTTATTTTCTGTTTCTACTGGTATCTGTTACGACTGATCAGGCTGCTTTGAATTTCACTTTCACCCTTCACCCAGCAGAGGAAAATCAATAAAATTAATAAATCCATAGGCTACATTAAAACGGTATTTCTTCCTGACAAGCATACAAAAAACTATTTTCTGTCCACTACACTTGTTGGTTGGCCTGGTAAAGACTTTTTGTCCAAGCTGCTGTCCTGCTGACAGAGAGACAGCTGCTCTGATGACGAAGACAGAATGTGCCACTTGCATCTTGCTTTCAGTATGGATTCCATGGGTTAACTGTCCCAAATAACTAACGTTACCACTCCTACAGCACTCAACTTCTAACTTTTGAAACTTAAGTTGTAACTGCAAAAGTAACTGACACAATACAGGTACTATATTGTGGCCCAAAAAAGATAACACTAGCCTGTAGCTTTTAGGGTCCATGTACAAAGTATAATTCATTTGTGATATTTCATCATGTATATAAAATAATGCACCTTTGTGTGCTTTCCCTTCTATCACTTTGACATTCAAATAGTAAAAGCAAAAAAGATATATTGTACTTCACAGGACAAAGGATAATAAGGATAAGGATAATCACCTTTATTGGCCAAGTATGTTA